AGAGAGAGAGAGAGAGGTGACCATGGCATGTAAATATTACTAAAAAGAAAATACAAAAACATAACCTGAACTTGTAAGTTAGTTAGAATCTCCAACGAAGTCTCTGTATTCTAAACGGAGAGATGAAAATAAAATTTGTGGACAAATAAACAATTTGAGACTGAATAACTGCATTAAAGGAGAGAAATATTATATAGCTCCCCAACATCTACTTCTTTAATCATCAAAAATCCAATTCAAGAATGTGCTCACATACTTCCAGAATTGTATTACAACTTGCAGAACATACCCGTGTCCACCTCGAATCAGAAACATCATATTTATGCTTCTCTATGCCTTCCAAGCAACGTATTAATGACCCCACTAACTTATTAAGGATCTGCACAAGTCACAATACTTAAATCAGATTAATTGCATGATATATAGCTGCAACAAATTCATTCAGCCAATAATTTAGTCTAAGCACATCCTCAAAACACAAAGTACGCATAAATGGACCTCTGGCCTGTAAAGCTCTAAGATCTTCTGGTATACATCCCGTATCAGTAATGTATCAAGACCAGGTCCGTCTGAATCTGCAAAAGCAGCCCAACCAAATCATCTGGGGTGAATCCGAGACTTTAGACTGCCTTTCTTTATCAAACATTGCAACAAGTTCAGTTAAATGCATGTCCATAAATAGGAAAACAGTGTCAAAAAGAAATTTGTCAGAACACAATAAGTTATTATTTTCAATTTAATTTTATACTATTTTCTCATACATAATTAGGAATCATCCAAAGAAAAGAAAATGACGACAAACAATGCAATTGAAAAGCAAGTGTCAAGGAGTTTTTCCATAGTGGACTAGGAAATGCTTCATAAACTAATTTTCATCCATATATGTTATTGCAAAGGAAAAGAAAAATGACACTGACGTCCTCCATGTGTTTTTATGTGCTACCTGCCTACATAGTAGTTGATTTAAACCTATCACTTTTTCAAAATGAAATAATGTTTCAGTAATCAAAAGGCAACCTGAATAAGTGTAGAACCTTGATGCAGTTTGATGGATAAACCAAAGCCGAATTTGTTATGACAATTTATGTGGTATTTCTGAGAGAGAGCGATGTTTGCCTAAGTAGTCAACACAGGAAAAACATTTACCATTCACATGCTCCAATAATAGGAAAGATATGTAAAGCGATGCCCATTTAGTTAAGTAGCCAAGAATGGCTCAAGGCTGCATTTGAATTAAATGTGAATTCATAATACAAAGTAGAGTAGCGGATATTATAATACCAGGTGGTTTCTGTAAGCTGCAGCAAATGCAGGCCTTTTTATCTGACAAAAAACACTCATATAGATAAAAGATAACTCTTACGTGTTATTTCTCATTTTCTTTCATTTTCTCGATAATGAATTGATGTCTTGCAGTCTTGCTAAGTTGCTATCTTGGATAATGGACTAAAATATGTCTCAATATGTATTTTTTTAATATGTCTCAATGCGAAATGCATGGAATTATGGACTAAAATATGTCTCAATATTTCTTTAATAAAACTTTATACAAAATCTGACCCCAAAACAACTTTTGTTTCAACTGGGCTGCCTAGGTTTGGTGCTCCCGCCTAGGCAGCCAAGACCCTCCAAGCTGCCTAGGCGCCGCCCAGCATTTTTTGGAACACTAGGACAAGTAGTCATGTGCTATTATGTAATGATCAGCAATGTTGTTTACCCTTATACATGTACCACATATCATTCTTTTCGCCTAAACATAACTAGTGAAAATCACATTCCAGGATTCTTTCATCCTTTTCTCCACATTCGCTTTTGAATTGTTACCACGTCACAATGATAAGAACTCAACCTTAGAGGGAACACAAATATATGTTCCTTTGTTTACAAGACATATCACATCAGCTAACCGTAAGATATAAGAGGAACAATTACCATTCAAAGCCTTCATAGCCATGATGTGAAAACTTCACAACAAAAACACCAGAAAACTAGTAAGCCACACACCGTACAGATGCATGATTTAAAGACAACAGGACTTACATTATACTGCCACTTCATCTCAATACAAAGAATGACCAAAACTTCACCAAAATCTATCCGAGTTTCAAGCCTAAAAATTGATTCTCCATGTCTTTCGCAACAAGATACTTTACACAGATAAAAGCATCTCAAGAATTAATCAGCAAATTACAAAATAAACAAGAGTTACAAGGGTACAAGAACAAAGAGAAGCAATGAAACTCTATCATTTTTTTGCTTTTCGCAAATCAGATTTGAGATGTATTGCTATGTCAACTGCCAACCACTCAAGCCCAAGCCCAATTCCTAAAACAATGGATCACATCATATCCAAGTAACTTTACAGACAACACCTTACAAGAAAATCTGTTGCAATTGCAAGATGAAATCTATAATAAAAATCAAATGAAAACAATGCTAGCAAGCTTCACCAAACCACATTTGAAGGCAATGGGTTTCAAGAAAACCTGTCTCCATAAGACTTCTAGCCTTTAGAATGCCCTTCCCAAACCAGCGAGAAGGATGCAGCTTAAATGATAAAGTAAGAAATCTTATGGATGAGAAGATATCCTCTATTGATTGTACAAGAATGGCCAAACTCCTCAGTGAACAATTGCCTTCCTGAGATAAACATTGACAGCGTATCAAAAAATGAATGGGTACTTGCAGGACAGGATAGAACAGAACAATGATGTCATGAGTACAAGCTGTAAGTTGTTAAGGTAGAATCTAAAATATAACCAGATAAAGCTCGATAAAAAAGGCTGTTTACCTCTAGAAGTTTTGGCAAGTAAGGAATAATCATGGGCTTAAAGCCACTTCCAGGAATGTCCACGTATGAATCACCTGGCAATATGCAAGGATCATTTTCTTCAGATAAAACCAGTTCTTGCTCAGCAATTTGATAGCCATGAGACCAAAGGTCAGTTCCAAAGATGTCTCCTTTATTGAGCTCAAAAGCCACCACATCATGCTTAGAACAGTCCAAGTTTGATGGGCCTGAAAACCTGAATAACCAAACTATCAAAAACACATCGTACTTCCAATGAACATAAGGAAGATAGCCGTTGCTAACCAATATACAGTTCGTTTCCAATGATAGAAAATAATATATCTATTTTCACAAGGTGTGCACATACCATGGCTGTGGCAACCTTTCGGTTCCTCTTAAAGGATCTCAGAGGGAGTTGGGTTTAGATAAATAGGGATCTCGCTCCCTATAAAATAAGATCAGTGTTTCAAAAAGTGCTAGGAGGCCCCCCAGGCCGCCCAGCGCCTTGACGGGTGCCCAGAACCTAGGCAGCCCAGTTGAATCCAAAAATGATTCTAACAGTTATATATTGTATAAAATACAAGAATTAAGTATTTAGGGCACATCAAAATTCAAAGTATACCACACACACTCCATAAGCATAACCACAAGTCGGTACATATCCAATTAAAACTTAAAATTTACCAACCAACCAAAGTTACCAAATAATACCAAACTAGTGGAACTACAAATCCACTATCCACAAGACACAACCAAGAGGAAGAAAACAAAAATGAAAGTAACACTTGAAGACTCAAAAGAATCTTCAATAGTTCAATCAAAGTTCAAAGTTTAATAATTATTCAAACATTCATCATTCATCATCAGATAAAGTACGGTCAGCTACATTGCATCATATTTATCGAAGTCGTCACCCTCCTTGACATATTGGCCGTCCTCCCTCCTCGACTTATACAAGCAATAAAAAAAATCACTTAATTTGATTGCTCAATCTCCAAACGTCCACGTTAAAGATGCTTCTAAGGACTCAAAATCTTCTAAAAAATCCCTCAATAGATTTATAAAACATCAAAAATTAAATCTAACATCAATGGGTGAAGTTTTGATCAATTTATCACAACTTTGAGAAACACTTCAATCCTAAAAAAATCATCAAAAACTAGTTTTTTGGGGGCTTTCTCTCTCTAAAATAGGCTCTACTAAGTTTTAAGTTTCAAATGAACCTAAAACCCCCATTTTTGACCCCTTGGTATAAAAACAAGGGACAAAAATTGCCCCCATCGAAAGCTTTTTATGCCTCTGGGTGGGGGGTTGAACCTGGGCGGCCGCCCAGGTCTAGGCGCTGAGCGGCCACCAAGGCGGTTTCTTAGGCGCCCAAGAACCTTCGTGTTTTTTGGGCGCTTAGGCGGCCACCCAGCGATAGGCTGTCCACTTTTTGAAACACTGAATAGGATCTTGGTCTACTAGCTCATAGGATCCCTCCAAGGAGAGGAGCTATATTGTTAACTGAACTACTGGTCCTCTCCTTAGTATTATAGATTTTTTTTCTTTAGAATATGTTAAATTGTGTTGTACATCAATACACTAGAATTATGATATTAAAAAACTAGAGTTTAATATCATAGTAAGCCAATTTATGATATTATTATGCTATTGTAGTAAATTGGAGTACTATAACTATGGCATTGGTAATAAACTAAGGTGTGTGATAATACATCGAGCGGGTATTGGCTCAATCCAAATTTTATCATATACTATTAATTGGTCTCGCTTTATGTATAGTAGAGCTTAGATCCCTCCAAGTCAAAACCTCGATCCCTCTAACATGGGATCTCGCTTCAAGTATCCTTGGATCTAGCTCAACTTGTTGAATGTAAGGATGCCAATCCTAACCCCAGGGTGCTAACACCTATGGTGGTTTCGGCATTCCACGAAGCAATCCCGCTCCCGCCTCACCTATGGTGGTTTCGGCATTCCACGAAGCAATCCCGCTCCCGCCTCCAAACCTGATGGGTAATACAAAACACGAACATGCAAAAGACAAAGAAAAAGAATGAAAGAACATGAGCATAACATCTACCTCAACTGATCCCTTTGAAGGTGACAAAATACTGCGATTGTGTGCTCGCCTGCAGCTAATGCATATAGCAGCTGTAAACCTTCTTTTACAGGAAAAGAAAGTAAAGATGGCAGCATCTGAATTTTGCTGTCAAGCAACGAAACAAACAAAACACTCATCATATCAACAGATCTGAAATTGATATCCCCCCTTGAGACATACAACAGGTACAACCTACTTCGTAGTGAATCCAAGCTGATTTTGCTCGCCATCTCCCCATCCATATACCTTCCCATCATCAGTAACCGCAATAGAATGGCGAGAACCTGCAGAAGCTTGAATTATGCGCAACCCCTGAAGACAGTGAACCTGCGTAGGGAGTAGAGTATCCTCCACCACTCCCAGACCAGTTTGCCCCCAGTGACCTTGTCCCCACTGTGCAGACCAAAATAACTCCAAATGAATCAAAGAACAAAGAATTTCAACAAGGAAGAGCAAATAAGCAAACTAAATATAACCAAGCCAATAAATCGTTCCATATAAGATACAAGTTACATGTAGTTGCTAAAGCCACCACACAAATCAAACCCTTTCATAGGAACCTCACACGAAGAGGAATAAACACTTACAGAAAATAGCATGCCCTCCTCATTTATCGCCATGGTATGGTTACCACCACAGATAAGTTGAACAATCATCTGGTCTGCAAGCAATTTTACTGGCAGAGGTCTTAACTCATTTTGAAGAGTGCCATGCCCCAATTGCCCATATTTTCCTCTTCCCCAAGTAAACACCTTTTAGAAAAACAGATACAATTAAAACCAGCTGTTCTCGCTGCTCAGACAAAACAGGAAACAAGAAACAAATCTGAATACAATGTACTGATCTAAGAAACTGCAAAGAATAACCTTTTTTTTTGTGTTTTTTTTTGTGGGTTGGGGGAGGGGGCTAGAGAGGGGAAACAAATCTGAACACAATGTACTGATCTAAGAAACTGCAAAGAGTAACCTTTTTTTCTTGTTTTTTTTTGTGGGTGGGGGGAGGTGGAGGGGGGTAGAAAGGGGGTCGCTAGAAAGGTTCCAGGCATGAGACTACTTTCGGACAAAAGGTATTAATTAGAAGGCATATGCTTCCATTGAAAAGATGCTCATAATGCTTACAGCAATCACCCCAACTAAATTTCACCAAATGACAACTATAAAAATGGTAACCGGAAAGGGTTACTTCTAGGATGATTCAGTACAAGATTCACCTTTGCCTTTCTCATGTTTTATCAACAATCCTATATGGATAGGGACTAACGAAAATGATGCCCAACAGAGGGTTTGAGAGTACGAACACGGATTGGGGTTTCTTTAGACCCCTTTTGGACCTTCCAAGGTAATGGCACAAGTGGCACGTCCCTTGGTCATCTTAAGGTTGGACATGCCCCTCTTACTAACCTATGTGTGGCATGCCACCCCAAGCTTCCTATGGTGATTTGTTCTACGCCTTAGGGTCTAGAGAGGAGAGAGAGAGAGAGAGAGAGAGAGAACAGGGTGGTGTGGACGCGAGAGAGGAGAGAGAGACTAGAAGGTTGTATATTTAGAGTGGGAGAGACCCTTTTATATAGCCTCCATGGGGGCCGGGGCCTAGGTCTATGCCTTATCAAACAATGACTCATAATTGTTGAATTATGACTTTTCAAGGCCTTAAATTCCAACATTTTCAATGTCTCTTGACTTCAGTTGGAGTAAAAGAGCGACATGACTCTAGGATCTTAGTGCACTAGGGCCATGACATGGAATACCGAAATGAGTCATGAGGAGGATTTCTGTGCATGGGAGGTACCTAAAGGGTTGAGGGTTGGCTACCTTTCAGCCAGCGTCGGTTATTATGCTTGTGCCTCGTGACTGTGTGATGGTCCAAGGCAATATGATTTATGTTTATATGAGTATGTGATACGAGCTCGATGACAAAATAGCCTTGTACAATAGAGGGTATTGGCCTAAATCCCTGACTCTTAAAACCTTTTTGTAGCGTGTGCTTATATTGTCGAAATGCATGAGAAGCCGCTCTTCCGGGGATTCATTGGTAAGAGGTATGCACATGTGTCAAGAGAGGAACCCTTGCACTGTGTGCGCATGTCCTCTAGGGGTGCACCAGAAATCCACTTATACTTGGGGATTCAAGGTTACTCATTGGTTTGAATTTGGTAAGTTAAGATCATGAACCCTTGATTATACACTATGGGTTATGAGTCTATTGGTTCATACCGAGAAGGTGGCTTTGGATTCCGGGTCTAACCGCGTGGAGTGCTCTGATTCATAATTCAACTCCAAGGATCCTAATTTCTCTTGTAATTATTTTTAAACAATATAAAAATTATTTATTTTGAAAAATCATTAAAATGATTTTAATGAATTTTTTAGAATTTTTCCCTTTTTTAGTAAGAAAATGCATTTTCCATAATTGTTTAAAAGAAATGACAAATAAAGACAATCCCCCGGACCCACACAAGACACCCAAATGGCCAATGGGTATTCATGTGGAGCCCTAGGAGATCCCACATCGCCCCCACATGGACAATGACGTGGGGGTGACGTCAAGCCCCACAAAGAACCCCATGTCCTTTTGTGATATGTTGGTTTAAGTGAAGGGCATTGAGTTTTGGAATTTTATGAAATATTGTGATTTTGGAAAAATAATTTTAACACGTGTTTAAAACCTAAAGCAAGGGGTTTGTGCACATGTGTGGAAGTTTCTAAAGGGGAATAGGGTTTGTAATTACAAGCGTATTCCTAAGGATATATGGTAATGTGCAATTAACCACCTAGCTTATGGGCATGATTTCATCAGTCCCACATGCTCTTATAAAATGGAGGGAACTTTTGAGATTTGATTTTTGCTGGAATTTCTGTCAAATTACCATAAGGGTATACCTCAATCTTGGTTTTGGTTTAATTAAATGTAAAGAGCATGGGTCTTTTAATAACAAGGGAAATTGGAGTGAATTAAAAAGAGAATAAAGGTGTTCAAATCCATACCACACATCTTAATGGCATGATGGCGGATGGTGAGCCAGGATCAAATCTCTTTTTGTAGCCATTGGATGATAACATGGAGAGCCAAGATTTATCAATCTAGAAGCATCTCTACACTTAAGGGTCAGAAGCCTATAAATACAACCTTGAACCTTCATTTCTCACATTAGTTCACATTCACTCTCTCACTAAAGTAGCATGCCATTCACTCTCTCTCTCGCTCTCTCTCTCTCTCTCTCTCTCTCTCTCTCCACTCATAGAGTGGCACACCCAAGCCAGTTCTCTTCTTTTCTCTCTAAAAAGTTGCCTTCAAGTTAAGGTGAAAGAAAGCTCCATTGAAGCTCCTTCACTACTCCATTAATAGTGATCCAAAGCTCAAATTCAAGCCATGAATGATCTAGTCTTGAAGCCTTCAACATTTGAATAAGATTTACCCATTTGCTTTGATTGTTATTATTTACTCATTGTTGTAGATCCTCAATTACAGCAAGCTATTTCCATCTTTTGACGATCAGATCATTGATCCTTTGAATCTACTTTGATCCATCTCGATGCAAATAGTTGAAGGCATCATCCATTCATATTTTGATCTAGTATCCATGAGCTTTTCCCTTTGATTTTTGGAGCAATTTTGACTGATATTTCTCTAAGATTTTCATGATCATATCAATCAATTAGATCTTCATTTTGATCAGTTCAATTGTTGTTTTTTATAACAAAAGAACTTCTTGAATTTGTGTGGCTCAATTTGTGAACTCAATTGAATCAGTTTTGTATTTCGAGAGCTCCGATTCCTTCCACGATTTTCCTACTTGTATTGATCTTTAAATATCTGCAAATCATTCCATATTTTCAGTGTATATCGGTAGATACTTGACGTCCCACTTATGAGATGGTGAATTTGCCTGAATTTTGAGATATGCCATAACCTGCCACACAACGGCACATAACTAAGACCCAAGGTTGTAAAGTGGCCATCCGAGAGCTCCAATCGGCTTCCCATGGTCATGATGCATTGCACACTTGAACATATGTATTTTGTTATGCTAGAGATCATGTCATGTAGAGTTTTATGGAGTTCATTAATGTATAATTTCACCTTGTAATGTTGCGTGGTACAAAACTTTCGAAAGCACCCCATACATGTGTAGTTTGATGATCGCCTTTAACTTGTTTTGTTCATGGACAAGAGATCCTAATTGAGTTGTATCATCTCGTTTGAGTGTATTTTGAAGTCAATTATTCAGTGTACTCACAGTGACATTGCCGTAATTTCATTTTGCAAGTTGAATTCCAAGTGTATTGTATGAATTTCAAGGTGCGTTGTCTTTTTGTCATTATTGTACTCCAAGTACAAGAGGATTTGGTTTCTATTCAACCACAATAATGACTAATCGAATTTAACGTAATCTGTGAGGTGAAAGAAACAAATTTAAGTTATCCATCCTAAGAATTAACCATTATGATTTAAGGAGGAATCTACAAACTTTATCCCATAAATTGTTGACCCGCATTTACTTCTAGTCCACCTAGGATAAGACCAAAACATGTCCTCTACAACTCCCCTATCCCTCACAAAATAAGGATACATAATCTTTTTCAAAAGCTTCCCATAAAGTTTCCAACAAAAATAAAACTCTTTAATTTGAAAATTATTTCTAAGAAAGAGGAAGGGGTTGCCCCACCCCTATGTTTGAGATATGGGCCCCTCAGAGCTCCATGTCTCATACATGTGGGTATAATCCACATGTGGAACTGGATCCACATGCCGACATGAATAGTGGACCCGTGTCATGAACAGTGGACAGGTGGCATGAACAGTGGAAAGGTGGCCGACATGAACAATGGACTCGTGTCATGAACAATGGATAGGTGGCCGACATGAACAGTGATGTCATTCTTATCTTGAACAGTAGTGTCATCCTTATCATGAACAGTAGTGTCATCCTTATCTTGAACAGTAATGACAAGTGGCCTTCTAATCTGTGTCATAGTCTAGGGGCAATCCATCCGAATTATAACTTGGTGATGAATGGTTAGAGGTACTATGTGAAGGGCCAGCATAAGAATCATCACTGGAGCTAGTTGATCTTTCAGGCGGTGGAGGATGGTCAGCAAGTCATATATGTAATTGGTGTAGAAGGGCAGCACTTCAAGGAGTCTCATCATTCCATACTCTTGTTCCTGCATAGACATCCAAAGGAATCCATTCTGGCTGGATTCAGTTAATGTAGCACATGCGGATTTTTAGCTCTTTCCATAACTCAGTTTGGAATAACCAGAAGTTCAGGAGATTAGAATCATACCATCCAATGGTTTGGATATGGGGGTGTTAGGTGATGATAGTATGTTGAGAATAAATCTAGAACTGAAGGTCTAGGTGAATGGCTATAATAACATAAGGTCTATGATAATAATCAAAAGATTCAGTCCATTGATTATAATGGTAATGTTTAAGTAAAACTTTATAAAAGTTGAAAGCTCTAGGGTTGGGATGGACATAATTATTCCATTGTAGGTAATGACAATGTCTGAGATAGGATAACAATTTTCTCACATGAAAAGTAAAACAGATATGGTTGTTTTGGGTAAGATACCAAAGAAAACAAAGGGCTTCCTTACGCATATTATAATAGTGTTTGGTTTGAAATAAGGATAAAAAAAGGATATGTAGGATGGCATCGAATTCCTTGAAAACATGCTCCATGATTTTTGATTAATATTTCATGCATCTTTTGTTGCATAGTCTCATTTCGTGCTTCCATTGTCTT